CTTTGGAAGGCACTCTTGGCTTCCCTGGGGCACCTCCTAATTTTGCCTGCCATGTCTAGCTCAGAAGCGTATACACTGGTGGAGATGATCCCCCGAAGACAGCTGAGACTTTTTCCCTCCCTAAATGATGATCCACAAAGCAGATAAGCCTCTTCATAATCAAAGGTCCAGTCCAAATCAGCCCCTCAAACTTCCATTTGAAGGTATAGGACAAAGGGAGAGTAGGAAGTGTGTTGCAGAAGCCAGAACCTGTGATTTTCTGGGCATCAGCATCCTCCCTGACACTCCTCCTCCCCACCAAGCCGAGAAGAAGGGTGGCATCAGAGTTAAGAGCACCGACCCTCAAGCTAGACAACCAGGTTCAAATCCCAGTTCTGCCACTTACGAGCTGTATGACTGGGCAAATGACTTAACCCCTTTGGACCTAGTGTCTCCTCCCCTGTGAAATGGTAGTAGTAGAGTACCTGTCTCATAGGGCTGCCAAGAGGCTGAATGATTACAGCAATGCATGGTAAGCACTAGATATGTGATATTATCATCTGGGGCCGCAGAGGCCAGGGAGCAGGCTGGAGGGTAGTATATAGGATAGAGCACCCTGATACTGGGTAGGGTGGCGGCCTTGGTTTTCTTGGCCCCTATTTCTTCATTCTCGAAGTGGGGAGCCACACACAGGAATCCTTTCTTTATTCTTTCTCCCTGGTACGGAGGGCTCTGCAGGGGATGTGCTCCAGAAGTTACCAACAAGCTGCTTCTTTGAGACCCCAGGTTCCCAGCAGGCCCAGCTGCATGTTCCTCCCCCACCCACGGTTCTTTGGACTGCAGCTGGCATCCTGGGCCTGGCAGCACCCTGGCCCCAGTCCCAGGCCGCGCCCTCCAGCTGACGTGCTTTTCCCTTCCTGCGCGCTTGGGCCTGTCCTTGGCTGGATAGACCCAACCCATCCCAACCTGCCAGACAGGGAGGGTGATGAGAAGTGAGCCCAGGAAAAGTGGGGGAGGAGGAGGTCAGGGCGCCTGTCACACCCCAAAGGACTGGAGGAAAATGTGTAAAGGGGGTCCCTGAAGGACAGAGAGGCTCCTGGGAGGAAAGGGCTGAGTGCCAGGGCCTGCTGCTGCTGCTGCTTCTGCTGGTCAGTGTCCCTAAGGGATAAGGATGGTGTAACTGCGCCTGCAGTCCCCGCTTTTCGGTCTGGTTCATTTACCCACCTCTCCTTTCTTCCTGACCCTGGCAGGTGCCCACAGTGTGTGTGCTGCGGAGATCGCCTGACGGGGCCCCTGTGCAAGTCTTTGTACCTGAGAAAGGAGAGATCATCAGCCAGGTGTAACTCTTCGCCCCATGCTGGAAAAGACTGTTTCATAGAGGTGCTGGGGTCTCGACCCCCCACCCCTGAGTGCCTCTTTCAGCTCCCCCATCCCCATCGCAGGCCGATGACCTGGAGCTGAGACCTTTAATGTTTTTTTTTTACACGACTTTTTTCAGAAGCCCTGACCTAAGGATTTATATATGTGGATTGTCCTCAAGACCCCTGTGATATGATTATGCTTTATCCCCCAGAGTTTAGCCTACTGGACTTAAGGCCTTGCCTGTCTGACTGACAGCCTCTATCTCCTTATGCAGGACAAGTGGCAGGGGATGAGTGAAGCAGAGTGGGCCACCTTGGGAGTTCTCCAATGCTCTGTGCTCTGGTTCTAAGAACTTCCCTGGGGAACTGCCCCTGGCCCTCCTGTCCCACTATTGCTGGAGGATGGACATGGTACATACATGGTACATGAGAGTCATGCACATGGTTCTCCCCCATTTCCCAGGTCTCTGAGTACCCCAGCCTGGGATGGGGGAGAATCCTTTCCCCTTTTCTAATGTGCTCTGTGATGCACACACCAAGTGGTAGGTCAAAGGTCAGTATATCCTGGTGGTGTATTGTCTTGCTAGACTTTCCTATTTTCCTGACCCCATAAATCCTCTTTAGGGACCCAGTCACTATACCCTGTCTATGCCCTGTGGGCTCCTAGACCTCTGAGCTTTGAGTCAGTGGCATCATGGTTTATAGCCTCAGGGAGTCCGGCGGGGAACTGGTCCATGCTGGTGCTTAGTGGTCACCTTTTGACAACCACCTCTGGGCATCTCAAGGGCTTGCAGCCCCATTGCTCCTTCTAACATTTTGTTTGTTTTTGAGATGAAGTCTCACTCTGTCACCCAGACTGAAATGCAGTGGCAAGATTTTGGCTCACTACAACCCCCATCTCCTGGGTTCAAGCGAGTCTCCTGCCTCAGCCTTCTGAGTAGCTGGGATTACAGGCAAGCGCCACCATGCCTGGCTAATTTTTGTATTTTTAGTAGAGATGGGGTTTCATCATGTTGGTCAGGCTGGTCTCAAACTCCTGATCTCAAGTGATCTGCCCGCCTTGGCCTCTCAAAGTGCTGAGATTACGGGCATGAGCCATCGCACCCGGCCCTTCTAACATTTTTTTCATCGTAGTCCCAAAAACCAATACTTTACAAGTGGTTTTGGAAAGGCACCACTTTTGTGGCATGTTCTGGTTGGGGGAGGGAGTCACAGTTCTTACTGCCCCCACCAGCTATGCTTCTGCTCTGAGAAGGTGCTTATTTATACCAACACGGACATACTTACTCCCAAGGACTGATGAGATGCTGAATTTTCTTTGAGGGCATTCATTATTTGTCCCAGCTTCAGTGGCTGGGTGGAAGCTGCATGTGCTAAGACCACCCAGCCATCCCTGGGTTCTCATCCTAGGGCCTTGTTTGCTTCCAGGTCAGGGGACCTGCTTCAATGAGAAAGCAACTGAGTTGAGGCTAGGAGAGGTAGGGAGAGCTAAGTTCTGGCTTTACCTGTGCAGAACTCTGCTCCTATGTTACCTGGACTGGAACAGACTGTGAGTATAGCGGAAGGTTCAACCTCTGGTGTCTGACCTAAAAGAGGCACAGTTCTTCCTACTGGAAAGAAAACGGTGTAGCTGATTGCACAAGGGGGCCAAGGGAAGACCCAGAATGGCCCATCAAAGGAACCTGTGGGAGGACGCAGGAGGCTGAAGGGATGCACCTGGCATTTCTCTCACTGTGCTCTTACTGCATCAGCAACCCCCACCTTTTGGGCCTACTCTGCCCCTCATGTGTGAATACCCTGCTTGGATGCTGTGCTTTTCTGGTTTGTCTCTAAGCCCCCTTCCCCAGGGCATGTTGGTTTCCCTGGTCTCTCAGTGTCCTAACTGGAGCCCAGAGCGCCTTAGTCTGAACCAGGAGATGGCTGAGCACTGGCCTTCCACACCTAAGCGTCCTTTACATTAACTTATTGGTCCTGTATAACACCTGGTGCCATTGCCAAGTGGCTGTGTCCTCAGCTACAGAGCTGGAATTGTGTGGGGTTTAGTACTAAATACTTCAATAAAGTCTGTTTTTTGTGATTGGCTGAGCTGGGGCTGAGGTATTATTATTATTATTATTATTATTATTATTATTATTATTATTTTGGGGTGTGTGTGTGTGTGTGTGCCAGGTTTCCTGAGCAGAGGCTGAACCCGGCCCCTTGGGCTGCCTGCCAAGGTGACTGAGTTGCCTGGTCCCTCCAGCTGGGCTGGCCAGGTCCCTGGGGAGCTGGTGTGATGGGTTGCCTGGTAGAGGGAGGCTCTCAGATTCTCTGCTTCCGGGGCAGGGTGGAAGCCAGCACAACCCCTGTCAAAGCTCCTTACGGCCTCCTCTTCAGCTTGAGGAGCTGGCTTCTGGGAGTCACTTCCCCAAGAAGGACAGGGGAGTGGTCAGGCAGACGGTAGAGATGGGTGGCTCAGTGCCTCCAAGCCATTCCTGGAGCTTTGACTGCCCGGAGCCCAGGCTCATGAGAAACAGCCCCTTCCCCTTACCTGGAAGACTGGGGCCCCTCCTTGGGGTGGTGATGAGCTCTCAGCCCCCCGCCCGCTGCATGGGGTCTCACTGCGGCATGGTGGGGAGCGCCACCTTGGACACTTCCGTGCCTGCCCTGCAGGGGTCGCTCCAGGGCCCCGGAGCACAGCGCCCCCTGGAGAGGCTGTGCCCGGACCTGAAGCGCCGGCCTGAGGCGCCGGAGTGTCAGGTAAAGGGTTCCCCCTTCCCGCCTGTTCCCTCCACAGCCAAGGAAGGGGCGGGGCAGGGCCCCCGGCCCTCGCTGCAGAAGGGGAGCCTCCAGCCCTGCCTGGATGCAGCCCTCGGGGCCGCGGGGATCTGTGGGCCTCAGGGGTCTGGGGCACTCCATTCTTGGGGAAGGCATGGGAGGGGAGACGGCTCCAGGGTCTCTGGAGAAGTTGTAGGGTATCCTGATCTCAGACCTGAGCGCTTCGACTTATTATTTGTGGGGAATGGGGCGCTGGATTCTGTATTTTAGACGATGGTGAGTTAGGCCCAGGGAAAACTGAGGGTGAGCAAGTTCCCAGGGGATGGCCTGTCCGAGCGGCAGCTCCCAAAAACAGGACAGACAGAGAGCAGCTAAGAGGAGGGATACAAAAGAGACGCACACAGGGGCAGAGCAAGGCCCTTTAAGGCAGTGAGCGATGGGATGCGCCCGTTCGGGGACCCGAAGTGCAGGGCCGTGAGAGAAGCAGGTTGCGCAGCAGTTTCTTCCTGGTCCAGGAGCAGGCTTCCCTGGGCCATGTCTGGGAGGGGCAGACATGTCGGGGAACTTAGCTCCCCTACCATAGGGCAGAAGGAAGGTTATGAATTAGGGAGTGGGGACAGAAGCCTCTGGGAAGAGGGGACCTCGGGATTTTGGCAGCAAGACTCCTAGAGGCAATTTGGCCTGGAGGCACAGGGATGGCCACTGTGACCTAGGAGCCCACCTGTGAGTCTGAGATTCTCCATGCTGGAAGATCCCAGAATGGAAGACTCCTAGGCAAATCAGGAGGGATCAGGGCCCTTCAGAGGGTCCCGAATCTTCCCATGGGAGGAAATGGGAAGCTGACCCTGGGACCCAGCACTGGCCCTACTCAGCCAATTCCTTTTGTGGTAAAAGGGCAGGTCTGCCTCCTGCAGCTTCCCCCTGGAGTGAGTGCAGAGGGGTGGCATCCCTAGGAAGGACTATCTCACGCCTGGCCTGCCCACTGTTCTCCTCGCAAGCTGCAGGCTGCTGCCCCAAGCATAGAGATGAATCCGAGTTCTACCAAGCGAAAATCAAAGAGAGTAACCTTTGAGCCATCGACATTACAAGCCTCTTGGAAGTCCCACTTACAGGGTGAGCAGTTGGTCCTGTATCTCAGCTGCGGGTGCTCAGAAGTGGTGATGATTGCCCAAGCCCTCGCTTGAGGTGTACCTAATGGGCACACATCTGCCCACTTCTGGCTACCCCTGTCACAGCTCTAGTCTCTGCGTGCCTGCCTCCCTGAGAAGTCTGGAGCTGGGCCAGGAACAAGACATTGCCTGATAATTTGAGTGACACCTCCTGTAGCTGACAGCTGTTCAGGACAGCCAGAGCACTCTCTCTCTCTCTCTATAGATAGATAGATAGATAGATAGATAGATAGATAGATAGATAGATAGATAGATAGATTAGATAGATATGTGTATATTTTTCTTTTAAGACATGGTCTCATTCTGTCACCCAGGCTAGGATGCAGTGGCACCATCATACCTCTCTGCAGCCTTGACCTCCTGGGCTCAAGCAGTCCTCCCACCTCAGCCTCCCAAGTAGCTGGGAGTACTGGTGCATGCCACCGTGTCCAGCTAATTCTTGGTTATTTGTAGAGTTGTGGTCTCACTATGTTGCCCATGCTGTTCTTAAACTCCTGGGCTTAAGGGATTCTCCTACTTTGGCCTACCAAAGTGCTAGGATTACAGGCATGAGCCACTGCACCCAGGCAGAGAAATCTTTGGATAACATCTACATGCCAACAATTCCCAAATTGGTATCTGCAGTCCATATCTGCAATTCTGGAATTCCAGGCTCTTACATCCAACTACCTATTGATATCTCCACTTTGATGCCTAGTAGACATCTCAAAATTAATATATTCCAAACTGAACTCTTAACTTTATTACCAAAGGCAAATCTGTTCTGTTCTCCCACATCAATTAATGGGAACTCAATCTTTCTAGTGTATCAAGGCCAAAATTCTTGACTTCTGTCTCTCATATGCACATCTAGCCATCAACTATTCCTATTGGTTCTACCTTCAACATGGATACAGAATCTGATCATTCACTTCTAACCACTTCCCTTGGTGTGAACCACCATCTCACCTCTGGATTATTGTCACAACCTCCCAGTTGGTCTCTTGCTTCTGCCCACACCCATGCCATTCTCCACCTCTACTCCTGATCTATTCTCAGCGGAACAGCCAGAGTGCTGTTGTTAATCAAAGTCAGACCACTTTTATTCAAAACCTGCCAGGGGCTCCTGTCCCCAAAGCCAATTGTCTTTACAATAAGCTATGAGTCCCTCATGATCTGCCCCATTAGTACTTTACCTTCACTTCCCACCACTCCTCCCTGCTCCTCCCACTCCAGGCACCCAGGCTTCCTTGCTGTTCCTTAAGCTTTCCAGGCATGATCCTGCCTCTGGGCCTTCACATTTACTATTGCCTTGGCTTAGAATGCTCTCTCGCCAGATACATAAATGGCTTGACGTTTACGTCCTTCAAGCCCACTCAAATACAATGAGATTTTCTTTGACTTCTGTGTATATACAAACCTATATGGGCAAATACAAAATAGAAATTATTTTATAAGGGTAATTCCTGTGAAGGAACTCCCTGGTGTGTAAGAAGCTCTATGACAGCAAAGATTATTGTCTCTTTTCTTCCCTGATGGGTCTAGGAGAGTCCTCTTACATAGCAGACTCTCAATAAATGTACACTGAAGAATGCACTTATTGATTTTCTACTATATGCTAGGAAGCATTCTAAATATTTTTTCACATATTAATTTATTTAAATCCACAACAATAATAGATACTATGATGATCATCCCCCAGGTTAAGATGTCAGAACTGAAGCTTGGGGGAATTTAATTTGCTCAAGATCACTTCTTACATGTATTAAGACTCATTGTTCATTTAATCCTCAAATAACAACAGATAGTATCATCTTCCCTGTCATACAGATGGGGAAGGTAAAGTTGACAGAGTTTAATTTGCTGGAGATCACAGAGCTGATGAAGCAGAGGAGCTGAGCTTTGAACTCATGCAGTTTGGTGCCAGGGCCATTGTGCGTAGCTCCTGTGCCTTGGGTTCAAGCCCTATTCTGAGTGGCTTTTCTTGCAGGGCAATGTGAGAGGGCAGCAACAACTTGAACTCAGGCCCATGGCCCATGTTGCTTTGGAGCCCAGTGGTGTCACCAGCTCCTTCTTCTTGCTTTACCTTCTTCCGACTCCACTTGGGGCAAACAGGCTCTATTCCTGGCCTCAACCCTCAGGCTCAGGGAGGCACGCCCTGAAGGCTATGCCAGTACAGTTGGCAAAGAAGCCTCCCAGGCTGACTTGGGGTTTCAAGTCCATTCACAACCAAAACTTTCAAAGTCAGTGTAGGACAGCCCTAGAAATTTGTGGCCACTGGGAGTGACTTAAAGGTCTCCTCCCAATTGTTCTTCCATCCCGGGCCATACCTGATGCAGAAAATCTTCCTTCTTTTCTTTTCTTTTCTTTTTCCTTCCTTCCTGCCTTCCTTCCTTCCTTCCTTCCTTCCTTCCTTCCTTCCTTCCTTCCTTCATTCCTTCCTTTCTCTCTCTCTCCTTCCTTCCTTCCTTCCTTCCTTCTTTCTTTCTGATGGAGTCTCACTCTGCCACCCAGACTGGAGTGTTGTAGTGTGATTTCGGCTCAGTGCAACTTCTGCCTCCTAGGTTCCAGGGATTCTCCTGCCTCAGCCTCTCGGGTAGCTGGGACTACAGGTGCATGCCACCACACCCGGCTAATTTTTTATTTTTAGTAGAGACGGGGTTTCACCATGTTGGCCGGGCTGGTCTCGAACTCCTGACCTCGGGTGATCCACCCACCTCAGCCTCCCAAAGTGCTGGGATTACAGGCATGAGCCACTGCACCCGGCTGAAAATCTCTTAACTAGTCCCACAGGATGGCCTTTCCACTTTGGCTTCCATTGGCCTAGAGAAGCTGGTTCTGGGGACCCTGGTAGCTTCTGAACCTCCTTGGTGGACAGGAAGGGAGGGGGAGGAAGACTCTGCCTTCCTGTTCCATCTGGTGGAATCAGCTAACCTCCCCCCACTACATCCCTTTTCAGGATTGTGCCAATTAGAAAGAGAAGCCTATGCGTTCATACTGGAATTTCTAGAAGAAGAACATATGGTAAGAAAGTTATCTGGACCTTTATGTGAACTAAGGCAGAAAGTAGAAAAAAAAAAGAGGGCTTATGCCTCCTTGGGTTTTGAGTACTAGCCCTGGCTTGGAAGCCACCAGATACTCAGCCCATTGTTGCCTCCTGACCAGGCAGATCTTTGGTGGCTAGGCCACTGGACAGGGTGTCTAGGGCTCAGATCTTGCAGTTCCCTTCCTGTAGGAAGGATCTTCATCAGAGATCCCTAGCCCCACTGTCCTCCAGAGCCCTACATAGGTGACCAGACATTGGTGAGCAGCAGTCCTGGGGACAGGGATATTGCACTGAGAAAATCAAGTGAGCAATCCATCCTTTGGCCTAGTTGATTGGAACCTGGGCTGGGTGTGAGGAGCAGGGGTCGGGTGCAGGTCTCATGTGCTGCCTGTGGGCAGAGCTAAGGACTGAAGCCCAGCTTATGGGCAGCAGTCTGTGTATTGTGTCCTAGTCTGAGTTCGCCAAGCTGAAGTTCCTGAGTGCTGTGGAAACTTTGAGTAGTGCTGTGCGTGCCCAGGCAGATGGCAATATGGACAATTACTATCCCAAAGCCATCCTGGCCAAGAAAATTGAGGTGAGAAAGACCCAAGCTCTTCTGGGAGTTCATCATTCAGGGATGAGGATGACAAGTCCTGGACCTGAGGGCTGGCATGTCTCTCTGAGGGGGTTCTTGTTGTTGTTTTTGTTGTTTTTTTTCCTGGCCTTTCTAGATACTAATTCTTGAAGAATCCACTGAGATTTTGATGGGCAACATGCGTCAACAAGCCATGCTCTGCATCGTGGCGCTGAGGTGCCTTTCCTGCCCTTACCCCTCAGAGCGCCTGGTCTCTGGTGCTGAGAACATTTGGGTTGGGAGGGAGGGCAAGGTTTGGGGACTTAACTTTTGGCCTGTGGGTGGCAGAGCCCCAGTGGCTGCTACTTTATCTGCCTGCATCCTGGGGTGGAGGGGGGGTTCTCCAATTGTACTTTTGAGAGCCTATTAGGACATCCAGTGATCGAAGCTTCCCCAGAAACCGGGGCCCTCCTTTTCCGGAGGAGAGGCCATTAGAAAGTGTTTGGGGTCTCAGGTCCCCACTGTTTGCCTGCACCTCAGAGAGAGCAGCAGAGCAATTCTCCCAGAGGGTCCTGGAAACATAACCCAGCCTCTCCCAGGGATCCCCAAAGCCCCTTGTCATTCCCTGCCTCCCCCTGAAGTCAGGTGAATCCACCATTCCGCTTGTCCCAGAAACTGGATCTGGTAAATGTGGGCGTCTCCAGCCTGTTCTCTCTGCCGCCCATCATGCCCAGCCTGTACCGAAGAGACAATGCGAGTCTCTACCTCCAGGTAATCCCCACCTCTTCATGGAGCTCCACAGGGAGGGTTTGTCTTTGGAGTCACCTCCTGTCCTTTAACTCCCTGCCCTTCTCCTACTCTGATCTCTCTGCTTAGCCCTTGGCCCCGTGGCCCTCGGGCTGCTAAGAAGCACTCCGGCTGTCATACCCTCACCTGCCTTTCCAGGGATCGGCCCATGTTCCCACCCTATCCATGTCCTTGCTCACTAAGGCTCACAGCAGCTTCAGTCATGGGAGGTGACAGTCTGATAATAAAACCCAGGGATACTATGGAGCAACTGACCGGTAGACTGTCAAATCTTCCCAGGGGCCTGCAGTTTTTTATTTTATTTTTAATTTTTAAATTTTGAGACAGGGTCTCACTCTGTTGCCCAGGCTAGAGTATAGTGATGCAATCATAGCTCACTGCAGCCTCACCCTCCGGAGCTCAAGCTATCTTCCCACCTCAGCCTTTGTAGTTTTAAAAATTGATGTTTCCTGCCGGGTACAGTGGCTCACGCCTGTAATCCCAGCACTTTGGGAGGCCAAGGCAGGCAGATCATGAGGTCAGGAGATCGAGACCATCCTGGCTGACAAGATGAAACCCCATGTCTACTAAAAATACAAAAATTAGCCGGGCGTGGTGGCGGGCGCCTGTAGTCCCAGCTACTCGGGAGGCTGAGGCAGAAGCATGGCGTGAACCCGGGAGGCAGAGCTTGCAGTGAGCTGAGATCACGCCACTGCACTCCAGCCTGGGTGACAGAGTGAGACTCTGTCTCAAAAATAAACAAAAAAATAAATACAAATAGATGTTTCCTGAACCCAGTGGAATGAATCTAATGCGGAGAGTCCCACGGGGTCTGGCTCCTGGGGAGAATGGCCCAATGCTTACATTTTACCACTGGCTCACAATTTGGGCTGGACCTGGTCCAGTCTTCATTGAGGGCAAGAAAGGTCAGCACCAAGGAAGATCAGAGTGTGGCTGGCCATGAGAGAGAGAATGCCGGGGGTGGCAGAGCCAGGCTGGCCCCACTTCCTTCCTCCAGAGGTAGGGGACAAGGAGATAGGGAAGTGCCCCCAGGGAGCTGAGCTGGCACTGTGGCAGTCTGTTCTGGACACTCCCTGTCTCTTCACTTGTCAGACAGTCCAGGCCTTAGATGACATGTTGCAGGCTCTTGTGATGGACGGTATGAACCCCAACATGCTCATACTACAACACTTCCTGGAGGTAAGTGGCTGTGGAAATCAAGGAAACTGAAAGTCCATATTAATTCTAGTATGTTTGGGAGGAAAGGAAAAGAATATCAGGATAGCCTGGGTGTCATTCTAGTCCAAAAACCATTGGTTCTCAAGCCTCAGCGTGCATAAACATCACTTGAAGACAAATTTCTGTGTCTCCCACAAAATATCTTTTTGAGGATCACATTTTTGGAAACATAGCCAGCTAAGCTGAGGACCCATTTCCGCCCAGGACTTGGACATATTGGGGCTTCAATGGTAATAACATTTACATCCCTGCCAGACTTTAATCTTCAAAGTATTTTCCCCTTTTGCAGTGTCTGCCGTTGCTCTGTGATAAAGAAGACCTCAGTGCTTAACCATCAGGCTACTTTTATATCCCTTAATGTAATCCCCACCAGAGACTCAATGTACTCCTTTAACTATCTTTAGAGCTTTAGAGCATTTCAAATACTCTTAGTTATGACAAATTGTTATCTCCTGAGGGTAGTTTGAGTTGGGGAAACAGCCAAGAGTCACTTGAAACTGACTTTCATGAACAGGATGGTAATCAATTAGGGTAATATAATTTTGCATAAAACATTAGGTGTGACTACAAAGAAGGAGACAAGATTGCCCAGGCATCTTAAAAAAAGACCTTGGCAAGGCCAGGCACGGTGGCTTACGCCTGTAATCCCAGCACTTTGGGAGGCCGAGGCGGGTGGATCACTTGAGGTCAGGAGTTTGTGATCAGCCTGGCCAACATGGTGAAACTCTGTCTCCACTAAAAATACAAAAAAATTAGCTGGTCATGGTGGCAGGCACCTGTAATCCCAGCTACTCGGGAGGCTGAGGCAGGAAAATCGCTTGAACCCGGGAGGCGGAGGTTGCAGTGAGCCGAGATCACGCCATTGCACTCCAGCCTGGGCAACAAGAGTGAAACTCCGTCTCAAAAAAACCCCCCCAAAACCCAAAAAAGACTTTGACAAGGACTTTAGCTAGAGGGAAATTTGTCCACATTTGGATGAGTGACATAGTTCTTTTGGAATGTACCATCTCTGGTATGTTTGTTGAGAAGGATTTTTGTGCTTTTTAGGCAACCTTGCTATAAATGTAAGAACAAATGTTCTGTTGTTCTTGGAGTCTGTGGGAAACAGAGATGCAAAACTTTGGTCCTGGTCAGCGTAGAGTCTTCAAGAGATGCATTACTGGGGTTCTCATTATCCAAAGATAAATGGAGCCCTGCAAAAGCACCATCTGAAACAGGTTCCAACATTTTGTATAAAATAGTGGAGAAATCAATTTACCTTGATACATTAAAATTAAAAGTATAAAAATAAGTTATTTTTATGTGTAACAAAATTTATTTTTGCTACTTTGAGGTAATTCTCAGTCAAGTGTGTATATTTTAGACATATTTTTCCTACAAAAGGACATGATGGCATAATACGACATCATTTATTTCACATTTGACTTTGCAGAGCTGGATCAGAAAGGTTGAATTTAAGGGCTATATGGTTTTCTTAAGGGCCCTCCTTTTTCTTTTGTCTTCTTTTTTTCTGTTTTTAAATTAAGGTATAATTTACATATAGTATAATTCAGCTTTTAGTGTGTAGATCTGTGGGTTTTGACAAATGCATGCAGTCCTGTAACTACAGCCACTATCAAGCTATAGAGCAGTTCTATCACCCCCCAATTCCCCCATAACTCTATGGTCAACCCCTTCCCCATTCCCCATCCCTGGCAATGGCTGATTTGTTTCCTGTCCGTATAGTTTTGCCTTTTCTAAAATGTCCTCTAGGTGCAATGTCATCTAGGTGCTATAGTCCCAGCACTTCGGGAGGGCAAGATAGGGGGATCACCTAAGCCGAGGAGTTTGAGACCAGCCTAGGCAACATATGAGATCCCATCTCTACTAGAAATTACAAAAAATATTATCTGGGCATGTGGTGCGTGCCTGTTGTCTCAGCTACTTGGGAGGCTGAGGTGAGGGGATCGCCTGAAGCCTAGAGGTTGAGGCTGCAGTGAGCTGTGATTGTAATACCACACTCCAGCCTGGGCAACAAAACTAGACCCTGTCTCAAAAATAAATAAATAATTAATTAAATAAGATAATTAAAATGTTGTCTAAGGCTGAGTACTCCAGCCTGGGGAACAAAGCGAGACCCTATCTCAAAAATAAATAAAATAATTAAAATGTTACCTAAGGCTGAGTATAGTGGCTCATGCCTGTAATTCCAGCACTTTGGGAGGATCACTTGAGCCCAGGAGATCAAGACCAGCCTGGGCAACAGTGAGACCCCCATCTCTACAAATAATAAAAAAATTATCCGGGCATGGTGTTGTGTACCTGTGGTCCCAGCTACTTGGGAGGCTAAGGTGGGAGGATCACCTGAGCCCAGGAGGTCGAGGCTACAGTGAGCTGTGACAATGCCACTGCACTCCAGCCTGGGTAATAGAGGGAGACCTTGTCTCAAAAAAAAAAAAAAAAGACATCTAAGTAGCATTATCCAGTAGACAGTCTCTGGAGTCTGTCTTCTTTCATTTAGCAAAATGCATTTGAGGTTTATTCGTGTTGCTATGTGTATCAGTACTTTATTTCTTTTTATTTTTTAATTGAGTAGATGGATCACAGTTTGTGCATTAATTTTCCAGTTGAGGAACTTTGGGGTTGTTTCTGGATTGGGATGATCACAAATAAAGCTGCTATAAATCTTTGTGTGCAGGCTTTTGTATGAACATAGGTTTTAATTTCACTTGGATAAATCTCTTGGAGTGGGATTGCTGTGTTGTATGGCATGTGGATGTTTGACTTTATAAGATACTTCCCAGCTGAGCGCAGTGGCTCCTGCCTGTAATCCCAGCACTTTGGGAGGCAGAGGAGGGCGGATCACCTGAGGTCGGGAGTTTAAGACCAGCCTGACCAACATGGAGAAACCCCATCTCTACTAAAAATACAAAATTAGCCGGGCGTGGTGGCATATGCCTGTAATCCCAGTTATTTAGGAGGCTGAGGCAGGAGAATCGCTGGAACCTAGGAGGTGGAAGTTGCTGTGAGCCGAGATCACACCATCGCACTCCCAGCCTGGGCAACGAGAGTGAAACTCCATCTCAAAAAAAAAAAAAAAGGAGGGGGGGATACTTCCAAAGTGTTTCCCAAGAGGCCATTTTCCATTCCCACTAGCAATGTGTAAGAGTCCCAGTTGCTCTGCATCCCTGCCAGCATGTGGTATTGTTAGTGTTTCCTTTTAGTCATTCTTATAGATGTGTAGTGGCATCTCTTTGTGGTTTTAACTTGCATTTCCTAGTGACTAATGTTGAGCACCTTTTCATAGACTTGTTTGCCATCTACATATCTGCTTTGAAGAAGCGTCTGTTTTAAGTCTTTTGCCCATTTTTTTATTGGGTTGTTTTCTTATTTGGGGGTTTGAAGTTTCTTTATTTTATTTTATTTTATTTTATTTTATTTTATTCGAGATAGCATCTCACTCTATTGCCCAGGCTGGAGAGCATTGACACCATCACTACTGGCTGCAGCCTCGAACCTCCCCGAGAGACCTTCCCACTTCAGCCTCCTGAGTAGCTAGGACCATAGGTGTGCGCCACCATGCTCCACTAATTTTTGAATGTTGTGGGCAGGCACAGTGGCTCACACCTGCAGTCCCAGCATTTTGAGAGGCTGAGGTGGGCAGATCACTTGAGGTCAGAAGTTCGAGACCAGCCTGGACAACGTGGCAGAACCCCATCTCTACTAAAAATACAAAAATTAGCCAGGTGTAGTGGCATATGCCTGTAATCCCAGCTACTGAGGTGACTGAGGCAGGAGAATCTCTTGAACCTGGGGGGAGAAGTTTGCAGTAAGCCAAGATCATGCCACTGTACTCCAGCCTGGGCGGCAGAGTGAGACTCTGTCTCAAAAAAAAAAAAAAAAAAAAAAAAAAAAATTTATGTAGAGCTACGGTCTCCCTATGTTGCCCATACTGGTCTCGAGCTCCTGGGTGCAAGCAGTCCTCCTGCCTTGGCCTCCCAAAGTGCTGGGATTACAAGTGTATGAACCACCACGCCCAGCCTTGAGAGCTCTTTGTATATTCTGGATATAAATCTTTTGCCAGATATGTGATTTGCAGACATTTTCTCCCATTTTGTGGCCTGACTTTATACAGTGTCTTTTTTTTTTTTTTTTTTTTTTTTGAGACAGAGTCTTACTCTGTCACCCAGGCTGGAGTGCAGTGGCACGATCTCAGCTCACTAAACTTCTGCCTCCCCGGTTCAAGCAATTCTCCTGCCTCAGCCTCCCAAATAACAGGGATTACAGGTGTGTGCCACCATGCCTGGCTAATTTTTATATTTTTAGCAGAGACAGAATTTCGCCATACTGGCCGGGCATTCATTGAATGCCCACATCGTGTTGAACTCCTGCCCTCAGGTGGCCCACTCACCTCAGCCACCCGAAGTGCTGGGATTATAGGTGTGAGCCACGACGGCCATCCCCGGCCACTCTTAACAGTATCTTTTGAAGAGCAGGTAGTTTTTCATTTTGATGAAGTCCAAATTATTATTATTTTTTATGGTTATATTTTGTTTATATTATTTAGGAATTTTTGCCTTCCTTACGTATTTTCTCATTTTCTTCTAGAATCTTATCATTCTAGATTTTAAGTCTGTGGTCAATTCTGAATTAACTTTTGTATTGGACGGTCAGGTGTACGTTGTAGTTCATTTTTCTTTTTTTGGCACATGGCTGTCCATGATGGGGTTCAGTGCTCTGGGAGAAAGGCTACCCTGAAGGACACCTGTCCAGCAGCTGTGATACAGGACACACTTTCCCAAAAGTTTGTAGCAAGCAGGACACAGGCCTCTTTTCCCTGGTGGGATCTCAACCTAGTGTAGTAATAATAACACTTATAGGGTTGCTGGGAGGATAGAGTGGGTTATTCTATTCAGAATACTTACCTGTGTCACTATTATTATTAACCTCCAGAAATTAATGGCTCTGAATCTCATCCTTCAGAGACCACTTTACCCCTTCCGCTGGCCTAGCAGGTAGGGGTTTGCATGGATATGCTGCCAAGAGAGCCCCATCTCCCCACCTTATCCCATTCCTGCTTACCCACTGCTTTGTAATTCTACATCTAAGGCACAGCGCTGTCTTTAAACATTCCTCTCAGAAGAGACCCAGAAGGTAGCAGGTGAAACCCCGGAGACATTTTTTTTTTTTTTTTTTGAGACAGAGTCTTGCTCTGTCACCCAGGCTGGAGTGCAAAGGTGTGATCTTAGCTCATTGCAACCTCCGCCTCCCGGGTTCAAGCCATTCTGCTGCCTCAGTCTGCTGAGTAGCTGGGACCACAGGCAGGCACCACCACACCCAGCCAATTTTTTGTATAGCCCCGGTGACTCTTAAACACATCTTTGCTTTGCCAAGTTCATGGGGGCCTGCCACAACTCCCTCCTTTTTGTCTTTTTAGCAGTCAGGGATGTGGAATCAAGAGAAGGAAGGGAGCAGCACTCCCACAGAAGGTGTTCACAAGGTCTCTTTACTCCTTTTCCAGATCATCTTACCTTGGTCATCACTGTCAGACAAAGTGCACGAACAGATGCGGGCCTTGGGCACTATTTCCCGGCTGCTGAGGTTTATTTGCAGTTTCCCAGAACTGTCAGTGAGTGCTTGGAGTCGGGGAAAGGCTGACTCAGTAGGCCCTGCTTCTCTGCACATGGGGTACCTGAGAGCCTATGGCTCTGCAGGGGGTTACTGGGAGGTGGGTGGTCAGAGTGTCCCTCTTTTTTTGCATTAGCGACTTTTCTGTTCCTATGGGGTAAGAGGTTTGACTTGTTTGCTTGGTCTGCCCTTGGCCAAGTGAGTTCCAACTGGCTGGACACATCTCAGCCTTGCTGGGGGACCTTGGCCTAAACAGCTGAGTTGGGTCCACAACTTCCCACTGGCTAACATGTTTCGGGGATCTGGCTGCCGCATTTCCCTGGGTGTTGCTTTGAAAGGTTTTTCTTGGCCAGGGAAAGAGTGTGGAGCTGGTGTGGTGAGGGGATACATGCAGGCAAATGATTCAGTGGTGTGGAGGGGTGGGGAGGTTGGAGAGGGTTGGTGGCCACAGTATGGGGAAGCTCCTTTTCGGGTGATGGGGAGTTAACCAGTTTCCTCTTTGGGGCAGCACATGGAGGAATTCTCAATGAGTGGGAAACTGATGAGCATCTTCGGCCTCTTCTGCATGGACTGCAACCACGAGATCAGCAAAGAGGCATCGGAGGCATTGCATTACCTGTTCAAAATCCTTGTGCTTCAGAGAAGTAAGCAACATGAGCCTGGGTAGCCACTGGGCTGCAGCCATGAGAGCCCATGAATAACAGGAGCACATAAGCACTGCTCATTGAATGCCCACTTTGTGTCAGGCGCACGATGAAGGGCAGCTCCTTCTCACGAGGGCAGAGTAAATATGCTATGATATGCCCCAAGATGAGGGATCCTCGTTACAAGTAGATCTGGAAATTTTATCTGGATGAGCTCCAACCCCATTGCTGATGCAATGCCCTCTTGTAAGTGATTCTAAGAGATTCTCAGGGAAAAGGGGAGCTAGGCTTGCAGCCACCTATGGAATCAACTTGGATACTCAATATTTCCCAGTGGTCTCAGCCTTACTGCTAGGCCTAAGACTGGGAAAATGAACATCTTTTCTTAGGGAACAAATTTGGGAGTCCCAGATTGAGCCCCTCTTTGCTCGAGGAAAACAAAAAAATACAAACAGTCACATACACTTCCAGAGGTGTCAGGAGGATTTGCAAATATCCCTAAAAGGAGCTTCAGAAACTCTTACTTCTCATGGTTCAACAGGGCATACTTCTTATGAGGGCATTTGCTCAGCACCCGCGGGTAGAACAGTCCACATTCTGGCACAGCGCAGGAAGAGCTGCAAGGACCAGACTGAGTCCCCAGCCGCATTCTCCCTCCACCCATTGGCCTGGTGCTGGGGAACTCGTCCCACTCTGTTGAGCAAATGTTATTTCACCCATTTCACTCTGTTGATCTTCTCTGAGGTTTGGAGGGCAAATAAAGAAGGGTGTGTTCCTATTTCCCTGTTAAGGCCCTGCCCCTTAATTGTTGTTTTTGGATTGAAGGTGTGAAACAGAAGACAGAGACTATCCTGAAGGATTTGCAGAAGCATTTCCATGGAGCATGGCTTGCCAGCCTGCAGGATCTAACACTGGTAACCATCACTCTCCACAGTGCATGAAATGTCCAGATGGGGAGCCATGACAGGGAATAAGGAGAGCTGGGGTGGGGAGATTGTAGAGGGCCTGGGTGGGGCCACAGAGGAGTAATCTTTCACCCAGAGGAGTGTCTCCAAAGCTCAAGGTCTCATGGATAGCAGGCTGGAGGGGTAAGACCCATTCCCTAGCTGCACTTGAGTTGACTGAGGCTTGAAGTCATTGAGAGAGTTCTTTTTTTTTTTTTTCTTTTTTTAATAGAGTCTTCCTTTGTTGCCCAGACTGGAGTGGTGCGATCTCAGCTTACTGCAACTCTGACTCCTGGGTTCAAGTGATTCTCTAGCCTCAGCCTCCCGAGTAGCTGGGATTACAGGCTCATGCCACCACACCCAGCTAATTTTTGTATTTTTTAGTAGAGATGGGGTTTCACCATGTTGGCCAGGCTGGTCTCGAACTCCTGACTTCAGGTGATCCACCCGCCTTGGCCTCCCAAAGTGCTAGGATTACAGGCGTGAGCCACTGCGCCTGGCCAAAATAGTTCTTTAAAAGAAGTATAGTCAACCCTATTCTCCTCCTACAGATTGTGCCCTTGTACCTTATTTGTAGCCTAGCCCTAATTTTTTTTATTCAGTAAAGATGTATTGGTTGTCTTAGCCAGGCGCTGTGGCTCATGCCTGTAATCCCAGCACTTTGGGAGACTGAGGCAGGTGGATCACAAGGTCAGGAGATCGACACTATCCTGGCTAACACGGTGAAACCCCGTCTCCACTAAAAATACAAAAAAAATTAGCTGGATGTGGTGGCGGGCACCTGTAGTCCCAGCTACTCGGGAGACTGAGGCAGGAGAATGGCGTGAACTCAGGAGGCAGAGCTTGCAGTGAGCCGAGATCGCGCCACTGCACTCCAGCCTGGGTGACAGAGCAAGACTCCATCTCAAAAAAAAAAAAAGATGTATTGGTTGTCTTAGATACGGTGTCTCCAGGCTCAATCAACTCAAATCACTCCAGTCAGAAATCCAGGAGTCATCCCTTGCTCTTTCCTCTCCCTCACTCTCCACATCCAATTCAACACCAGGTTTGTTCATTCTGCCTCCTGGATAGCTCTTGAATTTGTCCACTCTGCTCCAGCCCCACTGTGGGGCCCCCAGAATCTCTTGCTTGGGTCACTCCAGCAGCCCCTTACTGATCATCCTGTTTCCAACTATGCTTCTTGTCACATCACTTTCTATGCTATAGTCAGAGAACTGCATTTCTAAAATGCAATTGCTGAGATGAATTATTCCCCTTCAGACTTTGCACTGACTCTCCACTGTCCTCATTCTAAAGTCCAAACTTGTTCACTTGACCCACAAGACCCTTCATGATCTGGTTGCTGCTGTAACCTCATCTTGTCTCAGTCTCCCTTTTCCACCTGGCCCAGGTCTCCCTTGCAGGACACAGTAGTTAGGCTGAACTTCCTTCCACTCCAGGCCTTTGCATATTCTGTTCCCTCTGCCTGGAACTCTGTCCTTTTTCCTTGGGTCTGAATCATGGCGGTAGGGGAAACAAACACATCCTTCTTCACATGGCAGTAGGAAGGAGAAGTGCTGAGCAAAGCAGAAAAAGCCCCTTATAAAACCATCAGATCTTGTGAGATCTCACTCACTATCACAAGAACAGCATGAGGGTAACCACCCTGACACATGGGGATTATGGGAACTATAGTTCAAGATGAGATTTGGGTGGGAATACAACCAAACTGTATCACTCACATTGCACTATAACTGCCTGTTTACTTGCCCTGACTTGATGGTAAATTCCTTGAGGGTAAAGGCATTGTATGTTTTAGTTGCAGTTTTCCTGAGCTCCCAGCAATAGGACCAGGCACAGAGCTGAGCCTCAATATTGTTTGAGTGAATGAGCTTCACGTGGATATGCAGGTGCAGGCTCAGAGATAGGAGAGGTGTCTGCTGTACATAATAGCAGTCCTACTTGCTTTGGAATGCTGCAAGCTCACTAAACATCAGAACTCATTTCCAACGGACTCATTTGCTTGCATTCCAAATAGAAGTAGAAATGCCTTTTGCATTGTCCTCTGTGTCAAGTTGTCTGGACCATTGCTCCTTCCTGGAGATTTCAGAGCTGGTGGCACTCTGAAACTTGTTTCACACCATAGAATAGCCAGATGCTGGTCAGGGACTGCCTCCACTGGCCCCTGGTTGATTGGTCTCTTTGGAGGCCAGAGGCTTTGGGGCAGACCCAAGTTGGGATGCTGGCATCGTGGAAGACAACTGTTCTTCTTTCTTCAGTTCTTCAAGAAATACCTGACCCCTGAGGAGAGAGCAGATATGATCATGGTGAGCATGGAGGCCATGACCAACACCAGCAGGCATGACATCTCTGCAGCTTCCAAGATGTTAAAGATGATCCTGAAGTACACGATTCCAGAGATCGGGAAGGTAGCAGCTCTGGGGGACCTAATGGTTCAAGGTCAATTTAAGGAGTCTTTCTTTCTGTTCTGTTTTGGGTCTTGTTGTATCTCCTACCGGTTTGAGTTTAAAGAATCACATGCTTCAACCCATGGGATAAAAGGCTAAATGAGAAATAGTTCGTGATTGTGGAAAAGACTCTTCTTTGGGAAGTGTTGACCATCTGGCCTCTATCTCCAACAGGATGGAAAGAATTGAGTCAAAGCTATAGCAGACTACTAGGGGCTGCTAGGACCAGGAGAGACCTCAGTCTTTCTTCCTGCTTCCAGACAGTATTTGATATGTTAGATCTATAGGTGCCTTCTCCTTTCTTCAGGAGGGATAATTCAGGGGCGTGTGTGTGTATATAAATATATACATATATATATATACACACATCCACAAACTTATGACACACTAACATAAATAGAGATGAAATACAGAGACTCCTTTATGAGAGCTGCGACTAGTTCTCAGTAAAATTAAGACAGCATAGGGCTGGGCGCAGTGGCTTACAGCTGTAATCCTAGCGCTTTGGGAGGCCGAGGTGGGAGGATCACTTGAGCCTAGGAGTTTGAAACCAGCCTGGGCAACATGGCAAGACCCCATCTCTTAAAAACATTAATAAAAAAATTAAGACAGCACAGTTTAGCAGTCCTTTTTATTATAGTATTTTAAAAGATCTTATGGACTGATGGAGGCCCTCTTATTTTAAGGGCCTAACCCACTTCTCTAACTCACTTATGACCTCTCCACAGTAGGCTCTATGAGCAGTTCCGGGATCTTACACTTTCCACTTCTCTGGCCTGGATTGCCTTTTGATTGAATGCCTCAGAACAGACCGCTGATAAGTTGAAGGGGACCCCAAAGATCAACTGCTCGAACTCCCCACTTGATGCTTGTAATCTCTTTTGAAGGTTTTAAATCTATTTTGTATGGAATGCTTCACAAATTTACATGTCATCCTTGTGCAGGGGCCATGCTAATCTTCTCTGTATTATTCTAATTTTCGTATCTGTGAAGCAAGCACAATGCTTGTAATCTCTTTGAGAGCACCCCAGACCACTGGACAGCCAGATGGTGCTGAAAGCAATCTTGAGGCGCTCACTACCTTAAACCATAGCTCATTTGTATTTGTAAACTACTTTCTTTTAAAAAAATTTAATTTACAAAAAGGATATATATTTATGGCATACAACATGATATTTTGAAATATGTATGCATTGTGGAATGGTTAAACCAAGCTAATTAACATATCAATTAACTCACATACTTTTTTTTTGGTAGTGAGAACGTTGGAAACCCACTGTCTTAGCAAATTTCAAGTATAGAATAGTCATCGTGTTGTACAATAGATCTGAACTGATTTCTCCTGTTTAAATGAAATTTTGTATCCTTTGACCAGTATCTCCCCAGTCCTCCTCACCCCCAGCCCCTGGTAACCACTGTTCTACTCTCTGCTTCCATGAGTTTGACTTTTTTAGATTCCATATCTAAATGAGATCACCCAATATTTGTTTTGCTATACCTGGCTTGTTTTGTTTTTCATAATGCCCTCCAGGTTCATGTATATTGTTACAAATGACAGGGTTTCCTTCATTTTTAAGGGTGAATAGCATTCCATTGTGTATATGCCACATTTTCTTTATCCATTTATCTGTCGTTGGAAGCTTAGGTTCTTTCCCTATCATGGCTATTACAAAAGATTCTGCAGTGAACAGGGGAGTGCAGTTATCTCTTCCAGACACTGGTTTCATTTTCTTTGACTGTATACCCATAAGTGGTATTGGTAGTTTTACTTTTAGTTTTTTGAGTAACCTCCATCATGTTGGAATTTTCCATAATGGTTGTGCTCTTTATAAATGAGAAGGCCAGGTGCAGTGACTCACACCTGTAATCCCAGCACTTTGGGAGGCCCAGGAAGGAGGACCGCTTGAGTTTAGGAGTTCAAGACCAGCCTGGGCAATATAGTGAGACCTCATTTCTACTAAAAATCAAAAGCGTTAGTTGTGCATGGTGGTGCCCACTTGAGTCCCACTAGGGAGGTTGGGTTGAGAGGATCTCTTGAACCCAGGGGATGGAGGCTGCAGGGAGCTATAATTGCGTGACTGCACCCCAGCTGGGACAACAGAGCTAGACCCTGTCTCAAAAGAAAAACAAAATGAGAAAAGGCTCAAAGAGGCTATGAGCCTTAATTACTGAAGTTTCATCACCAGTTATTAGGTGACAGACACTGTTCCAACCAATTCAGATGCATTAACTCAGAACTGTTGATGTGGGTAAAATCGTCCTCATATTTTGTGTGAGGAAATAGAGCACAGAGAGGATGAAAAGCTTTCCCAAGGTCACACAGTTAGTAAGTGAGGAGGTGAAATTCACATCCAGGGAGTGTGACTTTAGAGTTCATGCGGACCACCACCTATTGCCTCCACCCTACATGGCCAGTAAACAGCAAGGACTGACTCTTCCCTCCCTCCCTTATAGTCTTGAGGCCACTTGGAGGCAGCAATCCTATGCCCTCTGCCTTCCTGTCTCTAAGTTACTCATCCTCAGATTCTTCCTTCATTCTTCATGACATGGTTTCCAGACATGGTTCTGGTCTCCCCTGGCTGCTCTCTATTTTGTCCCTCTTAAAATATCGGGGTTGTTCCGTGGTGGGCAGGTGTGTATAAAGCTACCCTTAAAATCCAAGGAAGCTGAGAGGTCAAAGAAAGAGGTTGATGAATCCAGTTTCTGAGAAAGAAACATTTAATACTGACTTAAAAACAAGCCATACTGGGCGCAGTGGCTTACGCCTGTAATTCCAGCACTTTGGGGGGCCGAGGTGAGTGGATCACTTGAGGCCAGGAACTCAAGACCAGCCTGGCCAACATGGTGAAACCCTGTCTTTACTAAAAATACCAAAAAAAAAAAAAAAAAAAAAATTATCCGAGCGTGGTGATGTGCAGCGGTAATCCCAGCTACTCTGGAGGCGGAGGCAGGAGAATCACTTGAACCAGGGAGGTGGAGATTTCTGTGAGCCCAGATCACACCACTGTACTCCAGCCTGGGAGGCAGAAGGAGACTGACTCAAAAAAAAAAAAAAAAAGAGCAGGTGTGGTTACTCACACCTGTTATCCCAGCACTTTGGGAGACTGAGGGAGGTGGATCAGCTGAGGTCAGGAGTTTGAGACCAGCCTGACCAACATGACAAAACCCCATCTCTACTAAAGATACAAAAATTAGCCGGGCATGGTGGCGTGCGCCTGTAGTCCCAGCTACTTGGGAGGCTGAGGCAGGAGAATTGCTTGAACCTAGGGGATGGAGGTTACAGTGAGCTGAGATTGCGTCACTGCACTCCAGCCTGGGCAACCAAGCTAGACTCCATCTAGAGCAAAACAAAACAAAACATAATGGAAGCCATGTCGCAGGAGGCTGCGAGAGGAGATGGTCGACCCCCCAGCTATCAACCACCATGTCCCAAGGCTTCTATACAATAGGAGTCAGACATGGTGGGTGTGCCTCTAGTCCCAGCTACTGGGAGGCTGAGGTGGGAGAAGCACTGGAGCCCAGGACTTCAAGGCTGCATGCAGTGAGCTATGAACATGCCACTACCTTGTCTCTAAGAAACAAACAAACAAATATATCTTAGAGAAGGAATGTGTAGGACAATTAAAATCAACCCCTCAGGAAAAAGCAAGAATGCTATGCAAATCTGCCCTAAGGGCAGGATTTATGGTAAGGGTTGTTTTGACCTAAGGACAGGATTTACAGTAACAATAGATAAAGTAAGGCTGGTGTGGTGGCTCATGCCTGTAATCCCAGCGCTTTGGGAGGCCCAGGTGGGCGGATCAGGAGGTCAAGTGATCGAGACCATCCTGGCCAAAATAGTGAAACCCCGTCTCTACTACAAATACAAAAATTAGCTGGGCGTGGTGGTGAGCGCCTATAGTCCCAGCTATTCCGGCAGATGAAGCAGGAGAATTGCTTGAACTCGGGAGGTGGAGGTTGCAGTGAGCTGAGACGACACTACTACACTCCGGCCTGGCGATAGAGTGAGACTGTGTCTCAAAAAAAAAAAAAAAAAAAAAAAAAAATAGATAAAGTAGAAATCTTAGAGGTATTCTGGGAACAAAGGTTAATCAGAGGTCAATATGGTGGTCAAAACGAAAAGAAAAGGAAAAAATAAAACAACAACAACAAAAAAGAAGTCAATATGCTGGGCCAGGTGCTGTGGCTTATGCCCATGACCCTAGCACTTTGGGAGGCCGAGGCAGGTGGACTGCTTGAGCCCAGGAGTTTGAGACCAGCCTGGGCAACATGGTAAAACCCTGTCTCTAATAAAAATACAAAAAATCAGCTGGGAGTGGTGGTGTGCACTTGTAATCCCAGCTACTCAGGAGGCTGAGGCATGATAAAACCTGGGAGGTGGAGGTTGCAGTGAGCTGAGATCTCGCCACTGCCCTCCAGCTGCATGGGCGACAGAGCAAGACTCTGTCTCAAAAAAAAAAAAAAAAAAAAAAGTCAATATGGTGGATTAGCATCCAACATGGGGTTGCTTCAGGCCCCATAGGGTCCAAGACAGTCCGTAGTCCTGAGGGTGTGGCCTGACTAGAGCAGAGTGCGGTGGGACGGTGACTTTTTTGGTCTGGACATGCTGTGTATGCATTATGTGCAGCCCTACAGGTGAAGTGGGTGCCTAGTTATGTGGATGCTGGTGAGCTGCTGTCGAGTATCTGGAAATAACCTCCTTTTCCCTCATTTCAGGTGCCGGAAATCATCCAGTACATTTACTACCACATGAACAGCATTACAGAAACCACAGCCCAAAAAACCATTAAGAAGATCCTGTATTTGCTGTCCCAGTACTACACTGATGAAGTTATCCTGACACTATTGAAAATAGAAGATCAGTCACAAAAGTAGGTGACTTTCGATCCCATAAGTACATGCCCCCAGTAGTCTATTTGCTTCTTCTTAAAACATATTCAGGACGGGCACAGTGGCTCACTTCTGTAATCCCAGCACTTTGGGAGGCCCAGGTGGGCAGATCACCTGGGAGTCAGGAGTTCGAGACTAGCCTGGCCAACATGGTGAAATCCCATCTCTACTAAAAATACAAAAAATTAGCTGGGCGTGGTGGCGGGTGCCTGTAATCCCAGCTGTTTAGGAGGCTGAGTCAAGAGAATCCACTTGAATTTGCGAGGAAGAGGTTGCAGCGAGCCAAGATCGCGCCATTGCACTCCAGCCTGGGCAACAAGAGGGAAACTCTGTCTCAAAAAAAAAAAAAAAAAAGTCGCGGCTGGGCACAGTGGCTCACACCTATAATTTCAGCACTTTGGGAGGCTGAGGCGGGTGGATCATCTAGGGTCAGGAGTTCGAGACCATCCTGGTCAACATGGTGAAACCCCGTCTCTACTAAAAATACAAAAATTAGCTGGGCGTGGTGGCGGGGGCCTGTAATCCCAGTTACTCAGGAGGCTGAGGCGGGAGAATCACTTGAACCTGGGAGGCAGAGGTTGCAATGAGCCGAGATCGTGCCACTGTACTCCAGCCTGAGAGATACAGTGAGACACTGTCTCAAAAAAAAAAAAAGTTTTATACACACACACACACACACATATATATATAGCTGTTCTAACAAGCGTGTGGTAGCCTCTCATTGTGGTTTTAATTTGCATTTCCCTAATTCAGTTGCAACTAATGATGATGGGCATCGTTTCATGTCTTTCTTTGCCATTCACATATCTTCTTTAATCAAGTATCCAAGTCTTTTACCCATTTCAGTTGGATTGTTTTCTTATTGGTGAGTTTGAGAGTTCTTTATATATTCTGTATACAAGTCTTTTATCAGATATACGATTTTCATGTATATCTCCCATTTTGTGGATTGTCTTTTCATTCTCTTAAGAGTTCAAAAGTTTTTAATTTGATGAAATCCAGTGTTTTGTTTCTTATGGATCATATTTAGGGTCATAGGTATTTCTTTCCATGTTTTCTTCCAGAAGTTTTAACTTTTGTGTTTTATATTTATATTTCACTTTTACTTAACTTTTTAGAAAGCATGAGGAATGGGACTAGGTTCAGTTTGTTGCATATAGAGGTCTAATTTTTCCAGCACCATTTGTTGCAGAGATTATCATTTCTCCACTGAAGTGTCTTTGCACCTTTATCAAAAATCAATTGATGGCTGGGCATGGTGGCTCACACCTGTAATCCCAGCACTTTTGGAGGCCAAGGTGGGAGGATCACTTGAGGTCAGGAGTTTGAGACCAGTCTGGCCAACATGGCGAAGCCCCATCTCTCCTAAAAATACAAAAATTAGCTGGGAATGGTCGTTTGCACCTGTTATCCCAGCTACTTGGGAGGCTGAGGCATGAGAATCACTTGAACCAGGGAGGTGGAGGTTGCAGTGAGCCAAGATTGCGCCACTGCACTCCAGCCTGGGTGACACAGCAAGACCCTGTCTCAAAAAAAAAAAAAAAAAATCAATTGACAATATTCATGAGCCTCTAATTATGGGCTCTCTTCTGGTCCATTGAGCTATATGTCAATTCTTTCATCAATACCATACTGTCTCTAATAGTGTAGTTTTATTTATTTATTTATTTGAGATAGAATCTCACTCTGTTACCCAGGCTGGAGTGAAGTGGCGCCATCTCGGCTCACTGCAACCTCTACCTCCTGGTTCGAGGGATTCTCCTGCCTCAGCCTCCTGAGTAATTGGGATTGCAGGCGCCCACCACCATGCCCAGCTAATTTTTTGTATTTTTAGTAGAGACAGGGTTTCACCATGTTGGCCAGGCTGGTCTTGAACTCCTGACCTCAGGTGATCCACCCGCCTCGGCCTCCCAAAGTGCTGGGATTACAGGTGTGAGCCACGGCGCCCAGCCTAATGTAGTTTTATATTAAGTATTAAATCAGGTAGGATGAGTTCTTTAATTTTATTACTATTGTTTTGTTTTGTTTTTGAGACAGAGTCTCACTGTCATCCAGGCTGGAGTGCAGTGGTGCAATCACAGCTCACTGCAACCTTGATCTTTTGGGCTGAAGCAATCTTCTCATTTCTGCCTCCTGAGTAGCTGGAACCACAGGCACAAGTCACCTCACCCAGCCTTTTTTTTTTTTTTTTTTTGGTAGAAATGGGGTCTCTCCATGTTGCCTGGCTGGTCTCAAACTCCTGAGCTCAAATGATTCTCCCGCCTCAGCCCAAGTGCTGGGATTACAGGTGTGAGCTGTTGTACCTGGCCTATAACTCTTTCTCAAAATTGTTTTGGTTATTTTATTTTCTTTGCTTTTCCATATACATTTTTTTTTCCTTTTTTTTTTTTGAGACAGAATCTCACTCTGTCACCCAGGCTGGAGAGCAATGGCATGGTCTTGGCTCACTGCAATCTCTACCTCCTGGGTTCAAGTGATTCTCTCACTTCAGCCTCCCAAATAGCTGGGACTACAGGTGCGTGCCACCATATCCGGCTAATTTTTGTGTTTTTAGTGAAGATGGGGTTTCACTATGTTGGCCAGGCTGGTCTCAAACTCCTGATCTCGTGATCTGCCTGACTTGGCCTCCCAAAGTGCTGGGATTACAGGTATGAGTCACTGCGCCTGGCCTGCTTTTCCATATAAATTTTATAATTTATATAGAATATTTATTTCTTTAAAAGTATTCTGGTGGTATTTTTATTGGGATTATGTTGCATCTATAGAAAGTAAAATGAGAATTGACATCTTCACAATATTGAGTTTCTGGTTCATGAACACAGTGTATCTCTTCATTTATTTAGGTCTTTAATTTCTTTCATCAATCTTTTGTATTTTTCAGCACAAAAATCTTGCAAATATTTTGTTAGTTTTATACCTAAGTATTTTTGTGCAATTGTAAATGGTACATACATAATTTTTTAAAATTTTAGTTGTTTATTACTGCTATATACGAATAATATCAATTTTTGTATATTGACCTTCATTGACCTTATATCCTGCAATAAGTGAGGTTTCACTTATTAGTTCTTGGAGCTTTTTAACAGATTCACTGGGATTTTCTACATAAGCCATCATATCATCTGTAAATAGAGGCGGTTTATAGTGTTTCTTTTTCTTCCAAATTTGTGTTTCTTTTTCTTGCTTTATCACACTGGCTAGGACTCCTAGTACAATGCTGAGTATGGGTGATGAGAATGGACATCTTTGCTTTATTCCCAATCTTAGAGGAAAAGCTTTCAGTCTTTCACCATTAACTATGATGTTAGATGGTAGGGTTTTGTTGTTGTTGATGTTAGATGTCCTTTATCAGGTGAAGAAAATTTCCTTCTATTTCTAGTTTGTTGCAAGTATTTACCACAAATGGAGATTATCACAATGTTTTTACTATACCTATTGAGATAATTGTGTGGTTTTTCTTTTGTATGCTCTTAATATAATAAATTACATTTTTGACTGTGGAGCCAGCCTTGCATTCCCAGGATACACCCCATTTGGTTGTGATGTTTTATCTTTTTAACATATTGCTGGATTTGATTTGCTAATATTTTGTTGAGGACTTTTGTGTCATTTGGTTGAGGATTTTTTTCATGGGAGATACTTGGTCTGTAGTTTTTTCTGTCATTCATTTATTCTTTCTCTCTTTTTTTTTTTGAGACGTAGTCTCACTCTGTCGCCCAGGCTGGAGTGCAGTGGCCGGATCTCAGCTCACTGCAAGCTCCACCTCCCGGGTTCACGCCATTCTCCTACCTCAGCCTCCTGAGTAGCTGGGACCACAGGCACCTGCCACTTCGCCCAGCTAGTTTTTTGTATGTTTTAGTAGAGATGGGGTTTCACTGTGTTAGCCAGGATGGTCTCGATCTCCTGACCTCGTGATCCTCCCATCTCAGCCTCCCAAGGTGCTGGGATTACAGGCTTGAGCCACTGCGCCTGGCCTATTCTTTCTCTTTTTTCTTGTACTATCTTTGGTTTTTGTGCCAAGATAATGCTGAACTCAAAAGATTGTTTTGGGAGTATTTTCTTTTTCTTTCTTTTTTTTTTTTTTAGACAGAGTCTTGCTCTGCCACCCAGACGGGAGTGCAGTGGTGCAATCTTAGCTCACTGCAACCTCCACCTCCCAGGTTCCAGCAATTCTCCTGCCTCAGCCTCCTGAGTAGCTGGGACTACAGGCATGTGCCACCATGCCCAGCTAATTTGTGTATATTTTAGTAGAGATGCGGTTTCACCATATTGGCTAGGCTGGCATCAAACTCCTGACCTCATGATCTGCCTACCTCGGCCTCCCAAAGTGCTGGGATTACTGGCGTGAGCCACCACGTCCAGCCTATTTTCTTATTTTCTATTTTTTGGAGGAGATTGTGTAAAATTGGTGTTACTTTTTTCTAAACATTTAGTGGAATTCAATACTGAAACCATCTGGATCTAGAGTTGTATTTGTTGGAAGTTTTAAAACTATGGATTGAATTTATTTAGTAGTTAGGGTCATTCAGATTATCTATTAATTTGTTCATCTTCTAGTCTCTTAAGGTGGAAATGTAAATTACTAATTTGGGAACTTTCTTCTTTTTTAAAATAAGCATTTTAGTGCTATGAATGTTCCTCTAAGCATAGCTTTATCTGCATCTAACAACTTTTGTTATATTGTATTTTCATTTTCTTTTAGTTCAAAAATCTTTTCTAATTTTCCTTGGGTCTTTTTCTGTCACCCATGAATTACTTAGAAGTATTGTTAATTTCCAAATATTTGTGGATTGTCCAGGTATATTTCTGTTACTGATTTCTAGTTTAAATTTATTATGGCCTGATAACATACTTTATGTGATTTCTATTCTTTAAAATTTGTTCAGGTTTGTTTTGTAGCCCAGAATGTGGTATATTGTGGGGAATGCTCATGTGCACCTACAAAGAATGTGTATTCTGGCCAGGCGCGGTGGCTCATGGC